AAATTAAAACACCTCTCAAATTTAAAAGTTTCCACAGGCACATATACAAAATAAATTTGCTCACATTCAAAGCGTCTGAGTCCGAGAACATTTTCAAATTAATATAATATCCAGTTATTAGGCTTAAATGGAAGGGCCATCCGGATAACAAAACAAAACAAAATTCCCGGTTTTTTTCCTTACCCCATGGAAACGTTCGAGCGGGGACTCGCAATTCACGGATCATATTGTCTCATGCGTCTTGTATCAAGACTATCTTTTACCAAATTAATGTGTTATATTAGATGTTAAAATAAAAAAATAAAAGTGAAATCAGACGTAATAATATTTCATTATTACAAAACGGGGACAATTTAAGAAAATCCGGATTTCTGGACTTTTTCGGAAAAGCGGCACCGCACCGCTGATGATGAAAGCTAACGGTTACTGGTACTCACAGAGTTCATGTCCGTGGTGGTCTTTCCCTGCAGATGGCTGTCATCGGTGAGACTATCAAACCAATCAAACTGCAGGCACATGAAACAATGCATTATAAATTGCGTTCACCCTTCCATTAATAATAATAATAATAATAATAATAATGATAATAATATCTTTGCTCTGGCGTCTGTTGTGTAATACCAAGGACCTTATAATCTCCTTGCCCCTCCTCTGTCTCTGTCTATCCCTCTCTATCTCTCTCTCTCTCTCTCTCTGTGTCTCTTTCTCTCTCTGTCTCTGTCGTCTGTCTCTCTGTCTGTTTCTCTCTCTCTGACTGTCTCTGTCTGTCTGTCTGTCTGTCTGTCTGTCTGTCTGTCTGTCTGTCTGTCTGTCTGTCTGTCTGTCTCTCTCTCTCTCTCTCTCTCTCTCTCTCCTCTCTCATGATGCAAAATTGACCCATTATCATGTACATGTACGTAGTGATCTTCATAATTAAAATAAGACATTTGGACTCACTTTATTCTCATCACAGCGGTTCGATAGAGTCTTCACCGTGCTGGAACAACCGGACGCTTCTTTCTCAACTGGCTCATCAGACGGGGAGGTCAGGCTCTCTAGCTTCTTTTTGGCTTTGATCAGGGTGATGGCCGTTGGGCTCTCGGACTCTCTACCATCGAGGGGAGGTAGAAGCCGTGTGGCGGACGGGCCACTCTTGTTGACTTGAGAAGAAAGTATTATACCCCCCTTATCTTCATCATTGTTCACTTGAGAAGAAAGTATTATACCCCCTTCATCTTCACCATTGTTCATTTGATAGGAAAGCAAATCTCCTTCAACTTCATTTTCATCATTATTGACTCGAGAAGAAAGTATATCTCCTTCATCTTCATCGTTCTTGACTTGAGAAGGAAGCATATCCTCTTCATCTTCATCATTATGGACTTTAGAGGAAAACATATCCCCTTCATCTTCTTCATTATTGGCCCGATAAGAAAGCATATCTCCTTCATCTTCATACTGGATTTTAGAAGAAAGCATTTCACCCCCTTCTTCGTCTTCACCATAACACGACTGAGTGATTTCGTTGTCATTAACAGCAGAAGAGAGTGACTCTTGTTCTTTGAATTCTCTATTCTTTCTTATTTTCTTATTTGGCCTCTCATTCCCCTTTGTGTTTGACTCTTTAGGGTTGGTGCTTTCTTTGATTTTAGTTTCAGTTAAATGATCCCCCGCCACAACGTAAAAAGGTTCTTTTGCGTCCTCTATTCCAAAGGCCACTTTGGAATACATCGCTTCTGTTTTCTTATTTGACACATCTTTGGCTTCAGACATCAGTTTGTTCCATTTTTTACTCGATCTCTTACCTTTAGGCGTTTCTGTCTTGTACTCATATGCATCATACTTTTGGAACGTTTTGTCATTAATTTCAGAGTCCTTATTCAGACCTTTTTTCTCATGCTCAGTGGCTTCCATACAGCTCATTGATGACATGTCTCCTTCATCCGTGTCTTCTTCCTCAGCTGGTCGATACATTAAAACTGCATCCTCTTCGTTATCATCCTCATCAAACCCATGCAAATCAGCTACAGCATCCTCAGTCCCAAATTGCATTTTTTTAAGGCTGTCCACGTCTGACGATTCAGTCCGGCCATAGATCGGCTTTGGGCCACTTTTGTTGCCCACGGGCTTTGGGCAGGAGGTGATATTCACCCACTGGGAATCTGTCATTTCTTTTTTGTCATTTCTTTTGCTCCCATAAAATCCGGATGACGGCGTTTTATGAGCCTGGTAGGGTTTCCAGTTGGTGTCAGTCACGTCACTGAAGTTGCTGTGCAAGTCCTTCATTTCTTCATCTAATTGTAGACTTCCTTTGCCACTTCCCTTATTCTTTATAGAAACAACACTGGGTTTGAAGCCAGATCGATTTTTCGACCTCAGTTTGCCGTAATTCTGACGAGTTGAAGAGTCCAAGAACTTCCACTGGTGCCTCAACTTTAGCATGATCTGTTCTTGACTCAAGAAAGGATACTGAGATTTCATTCTTGGCTTAACTGACTGCACAAATACCCTAAAGCTTGGAACACTCTCCATTTTGAACTTTGTTGTCGTTGGAGTGGCCAGCTTTGTGAATATGTCGTTGTGCGTTGTCCTAAAAAAAGAAGAATGAGTGCATGCAGTTTTTTCACTAGATCATACTAATCACATACAGAACAAAATTAAACATAATAATTTAGATCTAGATCTAGATCTAGTTTAGTAAGAGTTTTACGATGCTCGCAACTGCATGATAAATTCATATGAGCGTGCAAATAGCCTACTATGATATAACATACATAGACTCTATAATAATTTACAACTACAGGGCTCCCCTTTTCAGGCCAACTTAAGAGGTTCCTTCACTCTTTGGTTAACCATCTTAACGGTATTTAAACCCTCGTTTTAGAAACTTAAAGGGTAAAAGTCAATGTCTCATAATTTTATAGTGAGAATTTTTGCTTGTAAACATTTAACTCAAACGCACATTCACACAGACACACACAGTGACCATGACTATGATTGAATGCTAAAGGTTTTTAATTAACTTAAGAAATACATGAGTAATATTGACTAGAATTAAGTTGTGTCCATTTGGAGGGGGGAAGAGTGGTGGTGGTTGAGTAGTTGGGCCTATCAAAAATAAAATAAAGTTGACAAACCAATAGGGATCAATTTCGACTATAATTATAATACACCAATAAAAATAGACCTGCCACTCTCTGAAATCTAAAAGTCAAGATCTAAGTGGGAAAAAAAAATAGGACTTGGTGAAAAAAATCGGGATCAACGACAAATCACCAAGGTCACTGCCAAGCTGACTTAAAAGATTTCCAAGGGTGTCCATTATTATATCCATATATATCCTCTGTGCGCGCGCGCACGTGTGCGTGGTGTATGTGTATGTATGCGCGCGCACAAGTCCCGAAAGACGCTTCAACCGGGGCGCATGAACTTAAATTGACCTCGTCAACGGACGATCCCCGACACATGCACTCGCCGAAGTCATGTCACGTGGTGCTAACGCGCGATTGAAACAGTTTTACTGAAGGGTCTTGATGACGGACCCGACTAACCAGAACTCGGACAAAGCATGTTTTGGAGAAAGTAGATCTTGAGAATGTCTTAGGTCGGAATGCCAAATCAATACTACTTCCATTATAGTTGAAATAACACGTGTGAGCAAAGATCCAACACAACTTTTGGTGAGTCAACTATCAAATTCGACAAAGACATTTCGCAAAATAGTGCACCGAGTTTCTGCTGACAAAAAGTTTAACGAGTGCTTCCCACAACAAAAAAGAAGGCAGAGTAAGATTTTAGTTTCGCAAAACCGGGCGCTACAGACGGAACAAAAAACACACAACAAAAAACCCCAAAAAGAATCGGGGTAGATCTACATGCGATCAAAATCGGGATGCTTGAGATTTAGGGCAGGGATGAGTGGCAGGTTTGGAAAATAAACTTGATTCATTATTCTTCAGAGCCATCCCAGGGTTCACATTTCAGTCTTTCCACACTTTCGATGGCGGACAATTCATGTTTACTAGTGTGTGTTAAAGAAGGATAGGGGTAATCTCATGGTAGGCTAGGGATAAACACAAGGCACGACACCGACAAAATAATGTGAGCCACTAGAATGTGGGCGGAGCTTCTGTGCTGAAGCCAGCCGGTGTTGCCGGAAACTGCACTCAGCTAATATAAGTAGGTCGACTAGACGGACTAGTCGACTTTTTCTGACACAGAAGGTGACGATCGTGCATGTGTGTGGGTGTGTTGTCAAATCATTGACTCGGCTTTAAAAAATTGGGATAGAAAAGGGGGAAAATAATGCTTGCCAGACGCACACCACCTACGTTTTAAGGCGTATGCAAACCCCAGAAATGAAATTATAAAGAGTAAAGCTCAAAACAACCAAAACTTAAATGGGGTAATCTGCAGGTTTAATACTGTAATATACGCACATTTGTGCGTAAAGGGAGCCCAGCAACTAGCATGCAGATCTATTTACATTAAATAAGCATGCATGCTAGAAAGATGAGAGTACCCCCTCCCCCCAAAACCTATTTATTATTATTTTGAAAATTGATACAATGAGTTATGTTATTGGTTATTGAACAGTCTGTATCACATCGGGCGTTTTCACTTTGCCTATTATTACACTAGATTCTAGATCTATTGTAGTGGCAAAGTGAAAACGCCAGCATGTGATACAGACTGTGTGCGACAATGCAAAAACCGTTTGGGTGTCAGTCTGTTAATACGGCTGACTTTGGTGGGCCTGGTTCATTCATAAATTCCCGCTGCTAATAAATTTGTAGAGACGAAACCGGAAGGAAACAAAAGGCCTTGGCTGGCCTGAGTGAAATAATCAGAATGCCCTCCCTTGTTTATCGTATGTTACCGTGTTGCACGAGATCACACGAGTAGCGTCGCACAGTTGCTAAAACAAGATTTACAAAATGGTTGACACAGTGGCAATGTTTTGAGTTTCATTCATTCTGGATAGAAGAAAGTCCATGAACGTAAGTGTACATATGTATTTATTTTCATCTAGTTTCAATTTTGGAATAAACTGGTTTGTATTCAAAAGATGTTAGATCTAAATGAAATTTGTTCGGTTGTGTTTTGACCTCTGGAAGTGGTTGAAAAAACATTGATTTTTAACTGCCACCCTTTCGAACTGATCGAGTCGAGTCCAAGTTAAGACTTTTTTGGACCATGAAATGTTATTATCAGTCCGTTTAGACGTCTGGAATAAGGTAGCATGAACGCTGTATACGCCTAGATCTAGATTCTAGATCTAGAATCTAAATCTAGATCTAGATTCTAGATCTAGAATCTAGATCTGGTTGATTTTTCGGCGCTTTCTCGGTAGTCGGCAGATCTAGTTCCCACCCCGCAATTTTATTCTCAGGGGTTTGGGCCACAAGAGTAGGGGGGTTTCAGGGGGGCTTGCCCCCCAGACCTAATAAAAATAGGAAGGGGGGTTTCAGGGGGGCATGCCCCCCTGAATTTTACCATAATTTATGTAATATTGTTCGGTTTGTGGGTACAAACAGATAGAGAGAGAGTGAAGAAACGCACGTCTGAAAAGGCTCTTTGGTTTTATTATAGTCTTATAGTACACTGTAACCGAAAAGTGACTACTGAGTAGAAGAAAGGTAGTGTCTAAATCCCGATACGTGACCTAACAGTTATAACAGAAGAGTTATGTGATGTACATTATTCCACATCTCCCCCCCGAAGTTATTGTCCCAGTACTTAATCATCTAAATTTTAATAGATCTCTATAAGTTTCACTTGTTTACAACACTTAATTAAAGAGTTCTTGAGACTTTGATTAGAATTTAAAGCACAGAGCTAAATATAGGTCACACAGTCACTGGGTCACAGGTCTAGTCTCGTTGGTACTCTGATTTTTCTGCCGTAACGGCTGACCCGTGGTGTCTGCGCTGGGGCCGCCGGCGTTTGCGCGGACTCCCGAGCAGGGCTTGGGGTGTCAGGTTGCCGTGTCGAAGACGGTGTGTTGTCTCCGAGCTCTTGTGTTGTAGTAGGCTCTGGGGTAGCCACGAGATGACTTCTGTAGCGGCGGACGGTGCTCCCTTTTTCAGTGGTCACTGTGTAGGAGCGCGGATTGGGGTGTCTGTTGTTAACGATGCCCGGTCGGCCTAGGTCTCGAATGTGGACAAAATCACCGGGGCAAAGTTCTGGAAGAGATTTGACACCGTGTCTCTTGTTGTATTGCAAACGCATGATCTCTTTCCTCTTCTCCTCCCTTTGACGAATAGAGGGTATATCACAACATAACTTGGGTGTAAGTAACTGTAAGTTGTCCTGCATAATGGGAACTTTGGTTTGGAGTTTCCTTCCCATGAGGAGCTCACTTGGGGCATACCCGTTTTGTAAAGGAGTAGCCCGATATAGCAGGAAGGCAGTGTACGGGTTGTTGGCTTTCTTGAGAAGAAGCTTCACGGCCTCGTTGGAGACAACGTTTCAACAGGTTTCGTTCGTGCACGGGTCTGCAGAACAAGTCGCAGTCAGAGCAGGTCAGTACTCTACTGTACACTATGGGGGAGGTAGCCGACGACATCCTCACGACTTTGGCAGTCGAGGAAAGCACCGCTACATACACAGAAGTGATAGAGGCGTTTGACACTCACTTTGATGCACGCAAAAATATCATTTTCGCTCGTGCAAAATTCAACAAACGCACTCAGTTACCGGGAGAGAGTGTCGATATATTCATCCAAGACTTGCACAGGCTCGCAGATGACTGTGGCTATGGAGCCCTCAAAGATGAGCTCATTATAAGAGACAGAATAGTTGTCGGAGTAAGGGACGATGATCTGTCCAAACAGCTCCAACTGAAGCTCAAGCTCGCCCTCAGTGAGGCTATACAAGTAAGCCGACAAGCTGAAGCTCGTGATGAACGCCAGACACCCCCGTACGACCTCGAGTTGAGCTAGTCACAACAAAGCCACACAACATGCGTAGTGCGTCAAGCGCTTCAAGGCCTCCGCACAAACCACACACTCCACACATAGGTTCCAAGAGACCTTGTGGATACTGTGGTCGCCTCCCTAGCCACAAACGAGACGCCTGCCCTGCCGAGTCGGCAGTCTGTGGTTCCTGTGGCAAGAGAGGCCACTATAAAGCAGTTTGCCGAAGTCACCCCAAAGTTCAGGAAGTCGGAGTCAACTCCTACCACGTAGCTGAGGCCCCAGACTTTTTAGGTTCCATCACTGTGAACGAGGTCGACAGCCCAGATGAGTGATCGGCTATCAAGTTGAATTCCGTCCCAACAAAGTTCAAGCTTGATACTGGTGCTGCGGTCTCTGTCATCGGAGACAGAAGTGTGGACACAAGTCAACCTCTCAATAGCTGCGGCAAAATTCTAAAAGGCCCTGGTGACACAACTCTGTCTACTCTTGGCACCTTTGAGGCTGATCTAAAGTTCAAAGAAAAAGCCATGAAGGAGACAATATTCGTTGTAAAAGACCAGCCACATGCCCTACTCAGCAGGTCAGCTTGTGTAAAGCTGGGTCTCATTGCCAGACTCAATGCAGTCCACGAGACATCTTCTGATTTCAAACGAGAGTTCCCTGATGTCTTCAAAGGACTAGGACAACTGAAAGACCCATACATGATCAAGCTACAAGAAGGCGCTGATCCTGTGTGCTTGTACACAGCACGAAAAGTCGCACACCCTCTACTGCCAAAAGTCAAGACCGAAATTGATCGTATGCTGGCTGAAGGCGTGATCCCACCACTGCCACCATGTAATATTGATCGGTTTGTGGGTACAAACAGATATAGAGAGAGTAAAGAAACGCACGTCTGAAAAGGCTCTTTGGTTTTATTATAGTCTTATAGTACACTGTAACCGAAAAGTGACTACTGAGTAGAAGAAAGGTAGTGTCTAAATTCCGATACGTTACCTAACAGTTATAACAGAAGATTATGTGATGTACATTATTCCACTATTTAATGTTTTGCAGTTGTTAGGTTTGATGTCTTAGCTCACCGCGAATCAAACGTATCTATAGATCTAGATCTAGATGTAGGTCAGGCTCAAATAAGGGGGGTGGGAACTACCGAAAAAGCACCGATTTTTCTTCGGAAACAGTGCAGAAGCTCACTTTCCTTTCCACTTCCATTCTCGACGGCTAGGGCCTACTTAGCGCCAGGTTTTGCCTATATATATATGTACATGATAAAGGAATGACTATATAAACATAGCCTACTATTTGCCCATTTAAACCGCCATCTGCCGACTGTCTGAGTTGTACGGTTCTTACAAAACTAATTACAATGTAAATTTACAGTCGAACCGCCGGTGTAAGACGGCCACGCATTGTCAAGGAGAAAAGTGGTTGTTTTTAGACTGAAGGCCGTCGTACGCTGGACTAATTAAATTTAAATTACCAAATAAAATAAACCATTTGCTTTTGATCGTCGAGGTCCCAACTGTAGCTGCTGTAGGCCTCGTTAAAATTTTTTATTTTGTCGTTGTTCTTTTCTTTGGAAAGGGGATGAGTATAGGACGTTGTTCTGGGAATTTTTTTTGTTAGTTTTATTAATTATTTGTTTTAAAATTATGTTTCCGTGAAAGGTCAAAACAGAATGAAATGTGTCAGACGAGGAAGGCCAAGCGCTGCAGTAAAACAAACAAAAATAGGTTGCCACCACTCTGCGATCGAGCGACGCCTCTGTCGCCAGTTTGTGTTGACTTCCATTGTTATTGACTAGGTTTACGGACTGAGTTGTGGGCGAGGCTTTTAGATTATGACAGATCACACGCTTCCCTGACCAGCAGATGAAAATTTATTGTTAACCGTTGGTCAACTTGAAAGAGTAATCATTGGGAGCGACCTACACACGCACACGCCACACACATACAGTTCAAACAAAACATGTAAGCAACATGACCATTTCGACCATTGGAGGGACTGAGAATAAACTACGGGTGAATGAATTATGACCGCTTGTCCACAGCGTCATGGGGAAATGCATCATTTTTAACAAAGCCTGGACGTCTCAGGACGGCAAATTTGGCCGTGGGTCGATAAAATAGGGTGGCTGTGGTCGATTTAGACTGGCCCGTTTTACACAGTTAAAATACAATAGAAAAAATGCAAGGGGGGGAATTCAAAGTGGCCGTTTGTACAGGTGGCCGATGGTCATGGCAGATTTGATGTGTCACGTATTGTTTAAAATTAATTACTCAACATTATATAATGCGGAAGAATGCTGGCTTCTTAGATTTCAACATACTTTTTTTTTATCTATTGATTTCATCATGATGTCACCATAAAGGAATTTAATACAAAAATACCAAAACACATCAATACCCTGGCATCTCTGTTCATCTGGCATTACAGAATGTACAGAGTGAAATTACATCATATGATAAAAAGCATGTACACTTGTTTTGTCAATCAAATGGCGTTATCACCCACTTTTCCTTTGAGGTAAAAACCACTTTCTCTTCCACTGTTTCCATACCAAGGTAAAATCGGTCATACTGACTCTCATTACTCTTTTGGAAGTTGTTTCCAAACTCCATTATATGATTTACTAAATCAATACAACTAGGCATCAAGTTTGGCCGTCCTCTAACTCAGGCATGTACAAATGTGTCCAAGTTGCAGGACGGATTTAGCGATTCCTAACAACTTGTAGGCCAATGCAGAAGAAAATTGAGAGCTGAGTAATAGATTGAAATACAATTTGAGACTCAAACTGTCACTACTGGATATGTCACTAAAGCATTTAAATCGGCTTTACTTTGTCATTTTTTTAATTATGGGTACAAGTTTTGAAATCGAGCTTGGTTTGATGAGAGAGTATGGTGTTAAAATGTATAATATTATGGTCATCCTCTTTGACAGAAGGCTGGCACAAAACTTTGCAATTATAATTCTGTTGTCTGGCCTGTTTCTCATTTGAAGTTACCATCTCACCCCTACTGGGGATGTGCAGTGTTACAACATTTTTTATGCGCACTGTTATTTTTCCCCATGATTCACAATCAATGTTTGTCTGCATCCTTTGATTGTCTTTTTGAAGGCTCGACAAGAGGCTATGCCATAATAAGTATTCTTTTATGTGCTCTGTATTACTGTCTTGCAATAGGAACTGGATAATGGTGGTTTTGCGTGCTTTTATGAGAAGTAGGTTACTTTTGCCAAAAGCAGAATTTATAGCATTTCATGCTTTTGTGACATATCCTGGGATACATTAGATAATAACAGTTTCGTCTAGTTGAAAAGTCACATTGGTTGGTAATCTCAAATATAATCAAACTGAAACCAGCAAGAATGATTTTTAACAGAAAGATTAACACTGACTTCTGTGAGATGAACGATATAATATAGTCAAAATTGCTACAACTGCTACGTGTTGTCGAGGAGAAAAGTTACTGTCTTAGGAAGGAGATGATCTTAGACAGTGTTATTAAAAGTAATGTAAAAAAAATACAGTGGGGGAATGGGAAGTAAGTGTTTGTAAAGATACTTTTCCTTTTTGCTTCAAGTAGCGGTTAGAGCAGGTTCGACTGTACTGTCCCTTGAGCAATTTGTTAAAAAATTATTTGGTATAGTAAAAGAAAAAGTATTTTCATTCACAGTGAGAACTGTGCAGACCAACCTAACACTCTTTCACGAAGAGGATTTAAACAGTGTACATGTCATGTAGGCTTCTTGAGAAGTCCCAGAGATTTAAGCAGTTGAAATAATTATTCTCTTTTCAAGACTTTTCTACACCCAAAGTAAGTTCAATCTGTTGGAAAGTAATGTTTTTATATTTACAAAATTTTATTTTAATTTTTTTCTCGTGAATAGGGTAGATAGACTGACAATCACTGACATGGAAAATATAACAAGTACAAGGATAAAACCAGTCTGTCCAGAATATTCATTATCCTCCTCAATTAGCTGGATGTACAATCAATTCAATTAAAAGGTAGTGTTCCCTGTAGATTTGTTCTAGTTGTAGTCTTGTGCCCGTTTTTCTTTTTTTTCTTCCTTCGATACCGAGATATAATTAAACTTTACAATACAATATCATTGAAAAGTAGTTGTGGCGTCGGTAAACTAGTGGTTAGGCTACTGGACTCGTAAGCCTGAGATTGTGGGTCCGGGGATTCGAGCGTCAGATCCGTTATATGTTGTGTCCTTCCTTAGGAAAGGCACTCCACGCGAATTTCCTGTTTGGTTCGATCCTTTTGGGGATGGACGTTAAACTGGGAGGTACCGCCTCTTAGATTTACCTAATTTAGTGTTGATAGGGGGCGTTGAACCTTTACTATTTCATCATTTTTTGTTAAAAAGTAGTTAAAGGCTCATTGTTTCCATACACCGAGTTGACGAAAAGGTACAAATAGCCTGCTGTTCACCAACAGGGATACAACTCCCCCACGTCTGGTGGGATGCTGTATTAAGGTCTCCACAGCCTTTCAGGCTTTGTATAAGGTGGGATTTACTTTGCCTTTTATCCAGCTGTTTTTTTCTATATCTGTCTGCCAGTCTTTGGTCCACCCTCAGTGTAGGCCCACTTTCCAATTTACCTCTATAGATTTGTGTCGAGGTCTTTCCATGTCCTGTTGTTTACTGTCAAGTCTTAAGATTTGACTGTTGTGACTACTATGATGAATGTTTTAATTTTAATCTGACATACTACTATGTCTATAATATCAGACCATTGGAGGTATGGTAAAGGATCCAAAATGGGAGACGCACAGTTTTGTGAGGTGGTCATTAATCTTTTTAATTACAATTTCTCCCGTAGGCAGTGAGTGGACAGTATGGCCTCTACTGGAGACGTGGGGGAAAGTCTTGACTTCGACTTCTTCGAGTCTCCTCGCAACGCTGAGAATGGTGCACCACCACCATCAAGCCCGCCCCGTGCAGCGACATCAAAGCCGCCCACGCGACCACGACCGGGCAGTGCCAAACCTGCTTTCCATCAGGAAAGTACCAGGGGACAGTCTGACAGTATCGACAAAGTGAGTGAGTGCAACAGAAAGGCGAGGTCTCCGTCTGGCAGTGTCTCCAGCCGGAGCAGCAGCTCGGAGTATTCCTCAGATTCTGTGTCAGACAGTGAGGATAACCAATCTCAGAAAAAGAACCAAAGAAAAGAAAAAGGAAAAAACTCCCATCGCTCGTCATCCGTTTCGTCTCTGAGCTCAACCAGTCGGTCGCGAAGCAGGAGTCGCAGTCCATCCAGGTCCAAAGACAAGCGGCTGTCTCGCTCTCGCTCTAGTAGCCTCGATGACAGCCGCTCAAAAAGCTACTCAGAATCTCGATCTAGTAAGTCTGTGAACGACAGTCGATATGAAAAGGAAGGTCGTCCCACGAACCCAGTTGCCAAACAGCGAGAGGAGACCATGCCAAAGAGAGGCCGCTCCCGCTTGGGAGAAGATGATTACAGTTCTAGCGCCTATTCAGATGAGGATGATGTGGGAGCTGGGAAAAAATCTTTTTCGAATAAAAGTGATTCTAACAGCAGGAGAGGGGGAAGAGCTTCTGGTAATGGGAGCAAAAGACAGGCGTGGGGAGAGGACAGCAGGAGTGACGAGGAGAAGCCCCAAAGAAACCGACCAAAGACAGCTAAAGGCCAAAGAGGTCAAGGGTCAGAGAGAGACAGGAGGTACGGTAAAGGGACCAAAGCGGATTCCGATTCTCTCTCTGACAGCGACATGACCGACGTGTCACCAATGGAGTCCCCGAGGAACAACGGCGGCAACAGACAGAAGGGCAAGAGAAACGGGACCAGGATGACTGCTGCTGGCGACGGGGGGTCTTCCAAAATGAAGTTCCGGGCAATGCCGATATCGGACGCAGACCTCGAGAACGAAGACGAAGACCCCGACCGGCAAAAGAGCGGCCTTGACCTCGAGATTCTGATGAAGGCCGTCGGGGAGCTGGAGAAGCAGAAGCGACTGCAGGAGAACTCCCGCAGGGTCATGTTCGCTCCGATGTCCCTGAAAAGGAGCGATAAGTCGAATTATACCTTCGATAAAAACCAGAGCAGAGACATTGACCGCGAGAACCAGCGGCTGCTCAAAGAGATCGTGCGCAGGGTGCATGCCGGGGAGAAGAAACAACAGTACCCGAGAGGCCCCAGCAGTTACAAGCTCACTGCCTCCGCCATCAACAGGGAGCGGGAGATGAAGCGAATAGAGACAGAGAATTTGGTGAGTCCCTTTTATTTTTTTATTTTTTTCTCCTCATTTACTGATAATGTACTGTTGACGTTTGGTGAGCTGATAATGTACTGTTGACGTTTGGTGAGTCACCTTTAAAGTCCCCCCCCCCCTCATTTACTGATACTGTTTAGATTTATCCGTTGTGAAATGTACGGTTTCGTAGTCTCTCCGATGCTAGTCTTTGTCTTTGACTTTTGTTTACCGCTTTCTGAGTGGGTGGTTGTCGGGTGCCTTGTGTGATTTGCTCTTTCTTTCCTATCACAAGCACTAATCGTCCGGATCTGTCCCCCTTCCCTTTTGTGTTTGTTACTCTCTTGTAACACATACACACACACACACACACACACAC